CATAGAGAACTATTGATCATAATTAAGAGTTTACTTACAAATTGTAAATTATAACTTTGTTACAAGTTCAGTCTCAAAGTCGTTCAAATGGTCTATTTTTTGCACTCGCCGATGTTGCCACAAGCAAAACACGATTTTTTTAAAGATCGTAAATTTTATGCAAAACATGCATCTTATACAAACCCTATCCCGTGAAAGAATCACTTGCTATTTCAACACTCATTGTTTCACTTGTATATGCTTACAAAAGTACGCTTTTGAACAATTACAAACGTCAAAACATGACAAATTCAAACATGGCATTGACATCAAATTTTAGATATGAAGTTGACGGCTTTTATTTTTGGTTATTTTTATTTATTATAACCTATTATTCGTGTTATGTCCTTTATTCGAATAAAAAATTAAAAACGAAACTACTATTAAATACAGGCGTTTTTTTTGGGAAAAAATGTCCGCACTCGGCAATTTTTTCTTTAGGCCGCGGTTATAACAAGAGAAACTCTTAATACATGTAACAATGTGCTCTCTTTCGCTTGCTCCAGTCGTTATTCCTTCTGGAGACGTTCGATGTACTGTGCACATTTAGTCGGTGCACTTGGCACTATTTCTGCCGCCGTTGACGTTACAATTTTTTTTTGGGTTTACTACCCTAAAAGCGCTTCCTATGAGAAATCAGCGCAACTGAAGACACTATTTCCATTCTTTTCTAGCACACATGGTGTTACCGGCCAGATCAACATCAATGACAAAGTGCGAGATCTGTCGGCGTTTAGGAAACAGGCCTGCTACATCATGCAGGACGATAATCTGCAGCCTTTGCTCACAGTAAACGAAGCCATGATGGTGGCTGTCAATTTAAAACTACCCAGTGATCTCAGTTTGAGCGAAAAAGCGAAAAAGGTTTAGGCAGTTTTCGCTCTATAGGCTACAGCAGTTTTCTGACCAGATTTGAACTTGTTGCAGGTGATGGAGATTTTAGAATCAGTCGACTTAGGATCAGACCGGGAGACGAAAACATTCGAGTTATCCGGCGGCCAAAAGAAACGACTTTCGATCGCTCTAGAGCTGGTAACTAATCCTCAAGTGATGTTCTTCGACGAACCGACCAGGTAACAGACAAATTGTTTTATCTCAAAAATGCATTAAAATATCGACCCGATCGATGTACCAGAATAGTTGAAGTGAGTGAGTGAGTGGGTTAAATCGAATATCAATTCAATGGGTGATAAATCGGGTCATACTGATGCCCAATAGGAGCCAACGATTTTGCGTTTTGATGTTCCCTAAGCTGTAGGGCCTTTTGAAAACAGAATTTTCTTGGGGTCGTATAGGCAAACCAAAAAACCATTTAAATGTAGCCCCGATTAAGATCAATGGGTTATTAATCCGGTCATCCTGATGTCCAATAGGAGCAAACACCTTGCTGCTATGGCAGGACTATTTTAGAGTTTTGCAGGCCTTAGTGATTGACGTTAACAATATGCTCACCGCTTAAATTATCCAAATATCTACAAAATGTAATGATTTGGATCATTAAAAATTCGTTCTAAAACGAGTCGTTTGGTCTAAAAATCGTATTTTGCAAACTTGAAATCAGTTGGAAATCTTGAACGTCATAAGAGTTTGAAGGTCAAAAAGACGATTTTTCAAGGCAAATGTTATCAATGTTCTCTTTGTGTTAAGGTCGATTTTCTTTTGGAAAAACAGCTTTTTGCATGTGGACATTTTCTGCGTAGCTGTTAATATGGGGCCGATTTGAAAATTTTTAAATTTGTGGAAAAAACGGACGATTTTCCGTAAAAATTTATAAAAAGCTTAAGACATTTTGAGAAAATTTAGAAAGAAGAAAGATTTTTAGAAAAATTTTGACCAAAAATAATAATTGTACATCCGGGTTTTTTGGGGTTAATCGATTCCTTTCGACGCAAGAAGGTCACAAATATGCGTTATTTATAAAGCGTTTGGGTCAATAATAAGAAAAAATGGTCGAATAAGGATCGTGAACGATCAAAAAACGCTTAAAATTTGCCGAAAATGTCTATTATTTCGGATCTGAAACTTCTGATATGTTTTTCTGTGAGTTCGATGCATCCTCGCGTCCC